GAGACTTAATCCACTAAAATGATCTTTGCTTTTCTTTGTTTTAAATATAATTCACTTTACTTTGCTTCTTTTATTCTCTGGGTTTATTTTTTCCTAATACACATGACAAATTTTAATAAAAAAATTATATTCCAACTGAACAAAAGTAGATGCTTGCTAAGTGTATGTATAAATTTTATGTGGTTACTGAACTAACTGCTACTGGGCATTACAGAATATAGCATTAACTAATCCAATGTTTTCATCCTAAAGACTTCATGGTTCTAAGTTGAACCCCTATGAGTAGATGAATAAAAATAAACTAAAAGTAGACTTTTATTGGGAAACCCAGTCTGAAATGTCTCTTGTGTTTCATTTTCCTTCTGTAACATACTCCTAAGGACTATTTTCAAAAGTTGAATTTTCACTTAAGGTGATTAAGAATTTTTTTTATTCTAGATAACATTCTTTGCTCTTCCCTCCTTGAGTTCCCCAATTTCATTCTGTATCTTTTTTTTTCTTTTCCTTTTTTTAAACTTTAGTTTACTGGAGAAACTCTATTGAAGTAGATAACTTTTATCTCGGGAAAGGGAGTAAAATCAGAATTATTTTTCTACAAGCTACAGATACCGAAAGACTAGTGTGAAGAGTGGTTAGAAGCATGGATGAGGAAGAAAGGTTATACTTTTGCTTAGTGCAAGTTTAAGTGGTCAATAAAAGGCTTGCTTGAATTTTCCCAAATGTCTAAGCTCAAGCAAGGAAACATCCATTTTCTGTCTCATGATTTCTTTCCTTTATTGGAAATAAGTAAAAATTCATCATTTTTCTCAGAAGTTTGCAATGAAGAAAAGAACTATTAAGACTATTTGGTAAATAATATATTCTATGATATTATGGCATTTCCATGTGAGGCAGAAATAGCAAATGCTCATGAAAAGGGTATAACTTACTATGTCTTGCACAATGTGAGTAGGGTACGATTTTATACGAATCTCATGGGACATTAAAATTCTTACCTCACTAAAAGTGTTGTTAGACTGGGAATCATTGCTATAATAACCACAAAGGATGTAATCTATTGTTTGCCTTTTTCATGGTATTTGCCAATTTCCCTGATATCTGTGCAGTAACAAACCAGAAGCTAAACAAAAACCGAGAAAGAGGTTCCAGGGAGCATGGATCTCAGTTCCATGCATTGCAACTAAGATGGGTTTTTCTATGTGGCTTCTGCAGTCATATTATTCACACTTAATTCTTTATACTTATTTAGAATTAGTCACTGTACTGGTTTTGGGAGATAATAATTAACAAGAGTCTTTGCGGATATTCCGCAAGGGAGAGAAAGACACATAAAAAGGCCATGGGCATGTGCTCTTACAGCTGTATATCACGGCCAATGGGAACACAGACGGATGTTGTTAAATGCAGAGTGCTCCTGCGACTGCAGAGGTGAGGAGAAAGCCAGCCAGGGAATATGTGGTGGGAGCCAGGTTAGAACAGGTTATGACACGCATGAACAAAAAGCATGTGGGAATGAAAAGGTGCATGGGATAATCAGGAAGTGATGGGGCAGAGTGGCAGAGATGGGGAAAATTTATAGGGAGGGGAAGTTCTTCCCTCATACCTTCTAAATTATTGTGAGAAACTAAAGAGTGGCAGAGGAAAGAGAAAAAGGAATGAGTACAGACACATAATAACCATGGCATTTACTGAGTGCTGGGTAGGGTGCTACGTGTTTCACCACTCATTAGCTCTCTTAGTTTTATTCTGTGCAACTCAGTAAGGTTGATATCATTGTCTCCATTTTACAAATGAAGAAACTAAATTAGCAAGGTTATTTTACTTCTGAAGACACACTGCTAGCAGGGGTAGAGTCAGAATATGAACACAGATGTTTCCTGGATTTTTAATCTCAGAGTTTTGAGGTGTTTTTGGTAGGTAAAGTTTCCACCCCCCACAAATGCAATAGAAGCTAAGGGATGAGCCAAGAAAAACAGGCAATGATGCTGGAGTTGGGATCGGGGAACAGCATCCCTTGGTCCAGATGAACTGGAGAAGTGAGCAGGTGTGGGATCTGGGCCTTGAAAGCCACATGGATTCCGTACTGGGGAAGGTCGAGAAGCCCAGGCTGAGGAAGTTGTTCCTTTCTTCCTTCACCTTCTCTGCTATGATTTCAACTTGTGATTTCACCATTTTAAAATTTATTGCCATGTCTTGAACATTCCCATTTGTTTTGTTCACAAATCCTGAATGTGGCGCTGGCTTTCCCCTGTCTCAATTAGGGATTTACAGAATGCAAAATTCTACTACTCTATGTCTATAAAAAACAGAAAAATATGTATATATTTATCTCATTTTCAAAAGGCCAAGAAAATTTTATTTTCCAACATTTCTGTTCTCTACATAAATGTTTCTTTATATTGGAGTGGCTCATTAGGATCATAAAGTAATCCAATTAGCCTCACCTCTCTGTCTGAAATATTCTTTTTGCTTCTCAATCTCCAGGGGGTTAAGAAAAAAAAAGGAACAAATCCTCAAAACACACAGCAAGTTCTCGCACCCATTTGGACATCATTATTCTATCCTGTGAACCCCCTTACAGCACTTTGTGCATATTTTAGTACTTGTCACATCCAGCCTTGTTTCTTACTTGTCTGGGCAGCTTTCTAAGATGGGGTGATGCTCACTCTTCACCCTCTATACTGTATACCAATGAAAGGCATACAGTAGTTTTTGCACTGAGCATCTAACAATGTCACATTAATTTAACAGAATGACTCAAGGATTTGTTTTTCTTGGCACAATATGATCTCACCACCTTGTTTTCCTAGGATACAAAATTATCTCAATAAATGGGAATTCATTTTCCCAAAGTCTACATCCCAGGATGCTGTCTTTCTTTCTCTCCCTCTTGCTTCTCCTCACAGTGCTCATGGTTGGGGTCCTGTTATTTAACCTTTGGATGGCCAGGTTTGAGCCAGACAGAAAATTTAGGCTAAGCCATGAGTAACATGGAAGCTGAGTTTCTGGCTCCCTTTCTGAATATCTAAGGAGGAGAGAGCCCCAGAAAAGGAGGTATGGGTGAGGCTCTACTATTTAATTTCCATAATCTACAGGATAACATTACATTGATTCATATAAATCACATATGGCCTAATTTATATTTTCTACTGTAAACCTTACTAATTATATGACAAGGTCTCAGCAGCCATATTTCTCATCAGAAATAATGAAAGCATGTTAAAAATAGTTCACTCTAGTCCTTTTAGTTTGTAATAGGTATTGCATTTCATCCAAAGTACATCTGCTTATGTTCTATGCACATATTTGAAGGCTAAAATAAGCAACAAATCATTAAAAAGAACTTTTGTTTTAAGGAAGTGTTGGCTCAAAAAAGCACGTTTACATAAAACATGCTTCTGATAGCTGGAGATGCAGACATTCTTGACTTCTGGGCTGAGTAAGTGGTGTTACCTCTGTTGATCCTGTGAAGGCCACTTTGTCTATGTCCATGTGAGAAGAGATGGCTGCTCCTGCAGTGGGCCCGTAACCAGGGACAATGTTCACTACTCCAGGAGGAAACCCTGCCTGAGAGGTGAAAAAGGAAAATTTACCTAAGTG